ACCTAGTTAACGTTTTAGTATTTTACTGTTGAAATGATGAACAGTCCAACAATTTTTTTTGGGATCCCTCTGGGATTATCTTCATTTGTTTCAAACTCGATGAAATCCCGTTGATCACGTTAACGCCGAAGCTGCGTCGGATAACCGTCCGGGATTTCGTGTAAAAAAAAAAAATAAAATAAAAAAATAAAAAAAGAAAATACATTTTTCAAACGAGTTACGTGCACCCCAAATAATTATTATATAACTAAAATATCATCCATTATCATGTTGTATATTATAATCTCGCAGTACATGCGGCTGATACACACATTTGTTCAATGTTAAATATATTATGTAAAACATTTAGTCAACCGGCATGGGATGCACGTTTGTAGGACGATCAGTGACATATACATACTTTTGTGTGGGAGGGGGGGATCAGTTGCGAACAAATTATTATGGAAGGAAAATTCCTAAGCCTAAGTATCTGCACATTTAAATAATAAATAATAAAACGTACATATATGTACATTGAATGTGTTAAAATAATAATTTACAATATAACCTTGCAATATTTTTTTTCCTTATAATTTCCTTACATTAAGAACACTATTTTATATAATTATAAAAATACCAATGGGGTAGGGGATCTGACTTCCACATCAACCCTCTTGTATAGGCCCCTGAGAACGATATAAGCGAAAAGATAATGCAATGCGTGGACCATCACGTAGTAGGTATTGTCGCGGCAAGTTTCGCAAAACGCATTGGCGTCATTTGTGCAATAAGCGTCCGCAGAGTCATGCATTTACACCACGTGATTTCTTCTTTTATCCGTGTGAGTTTACATTTTTTCGAAATTTACGGAGATTGTATTTTATCAATTTTATCAGTTAACCGATAGATGCAGTATTTAGCATCTTGCGGATAAGTGTGAGATCACACCTGAACTATTCGGGTCTTACGGTTTGATATTCTTCTGGACGCGTTGAACCGGTCCGCGTGCGAGAAATTATCGATTGTGCCCGAGTATATAATAGTAGGTACATTATAGTGGGGCACGTCGAAGGGGCGAATGAGGTAAATGTCAATATTGCAAACGTGTGACGACGTTAGCCGTATCGTCTGTCGACTTTTATTAATTTTCTTGCGAAAAATACACGAAATATTTTTGATTTATTCGAACATTATATTGATACGGTGTAGGTTTCAAACGTAATGTGTAGAACGTTGTCAAAAAAGGTCCTCTTACACATTGTATTACGGTGCAGTATGACAACCGTTGTTGGGGGCAAGAATAATTAACAAATCGTCTAGGGGATCGATTCCCATATCACTACGGGGTTGGTTCGAGGTATTTAAAGCGAGATGGATTTTTGCCAAAAACTTTTGGTGTAGAAAGGCCAAGATACGAGTGAGTTAACTCCGGGAAAATTGTTTACGATGATGTCATTCAACCGGCTAAGAAGAAAATTATGTAAGAGTCTTACGATTGGTTGTCAATATTTTTTCAAGTCCGTCCGGTGAGGCACGGGAGGTTGTATGGGATATTGTACTGATTCCTAATGTTGGCCGTATTGGTTGTTTTTTAGATTTGAAAGCGACGATGAATCATCGCATTCGTAAACGATTCCGAACGAAGGTCAGCGCAACATACACATTTGTAGTAGTATTGAATACCTTTATGATAAAAAAAAAAAAGAAAAATAAAAAGAAAAAATTGTAATAAAACCATTGTTTTGTAGTAATTTTTTTTTCTTCGGATTTTCCCTTATGCTTGGTAAAACTACAACTGTTAATATCGAAAAAAGACCTGCGTCGGATTTCTTGTCCGAGTGAAAAAAAAAAAAAACGTTACGTTCAACTTTTGGCGTGTCACATTTAGGCGATACCCAAAAACGTGTCGACAGGAAGGAAAAAAAACCACGTCACCGTGAAACTAATACGCGCAATCCACGTCCTGGTCGATTCGAATGCGTACGAAGTACACCGACACAAAAGGTCTATAAAAGCAACGGATCGTTTAATACTTAAAATAATCTAATGCGTTTAATGCTACTTGTTATCGTACAATAATGTGTAATATTACGCGCGCGAGTACGCTTCTCACGGACGAGGAAACGATTCGTATGCGTACAGCGTTACAGTGTTCGAGTGCGGAACCTTTAGCAAACCATTGAATTGTTTCGAATCCGGACGCGGTAAGCGAAGTTTCCGGAAACACTCTGTATACAACGCTTACGCGTATCCGAATGTTAAAAATATGTTGTTAAAAAATGTGCGCGGGCAGATGACGCGAACATGTATTGCAATCGGTAAGATTCGTACCGTATATTTATCGTGAGCGGATGAATCATGCGCGAGAATTCGCGCTCGTCCCGAACAGTCGGAATACCTATGGGCCGCGACGTATTTACATAATTTCCGCCGCGATGTTCACGCCCGGCCTCGAAAGCTTACGCATCGTTATTATTGCCCGTTAATATTTAAATGTTTCGACCGTTTTCCGCATAAATTACGCACCGGCGGCGTGGGCGCTCTTTGGCGTCTTCACCTCAGCCCCAACATGTTTCTCGAGCAATAAAAATCAAACAAAACCTCATTGGCCATGTGACGTGTACCGGACGGCGCGCCGCAAACGAGTGTCCGTGGCTAAGACCGATTCCGGAAATCGATCTGTGTTCGTTTTTTTTCCACGACCGATCGATCATCGGATTTATGTGCTTATGCGTCCCTTACCATTTGTGTTGCACACAACTGATCCACGTAATATACGATAATTTTTTTCCATCGCCAACCGTTATAGAATCTCAAAAAGTTGTATAATCTTATTGAGATAACTTTTTTATAAGTTTAAAATTTAGCCGTGGTCCGATGAAACAGTGTCGAATTTGGATTTTTATTATGCGATCGGCCATCGGTATGAATAAGTTAATACAATACAAATAAGACAATTGTTATGCATTCCGACGACCGGTTAAATTTAACAAAAAAAATATCTAGTACACGTATGTCGCTTGACTGCTGTCGGAGTAGTGGCGTAGCTATCATAGAACGAAGCGGGGCACCTTGAACATTTCTAAAACCATACTTCCCTAAAATAATCAACAATATTATTGACAATGACGCCTGTTTATTAACTTTGTTTATCGTCTCGTAATAAATAAGTATTCATATTAAAAAAAAAAAAAAAAAATCAATAATATTGTCATATTATTATGATGTGTACACTTTGAATTTGCACGTAAAGATAGTATTAGTTAGGGGCCTAGTTTACTTACTGCACCGGAGCCCTTTCCCGTGTAGCTACGCCACTGTGTCGGCGATTGGCGCATGCGCTTACGTCGTGCATAGTTATAAATAAAAAAAACAAGTGTTCCGATTTATTCTAACGACACGGGTCGACCAGTTTTTTGGAAATATTTCACTAACATCCACTAAATGTTGACTGGGGGTTCTGTGCGGTCAATGCGGTGTCAATAATTATGAATATAGTTTCGTCTCGTTCGTATGCACAATAAACAGCTGAAACTAGAACCTCGGTGGAATTCAACACCGAACGACGACACTAAGCGTGATAAAACGATATTTTACCTCATCGTAACGAAGTATAATAATTATTGATTATCGAAACGATTGTAGAAAATGCGGACACTCGCGCGTAGGCGACGTGTTTTCAAGCAACGGTCGTAACAACGCTTTATCGGCAATATTTAATCTCATATTTTATGCACGACGTGATTTCGCGAAGCCAATAGTCGCGATATTTACAAACACGCGACCTTTTACTACCGAATACCGTTTTCCTATCGTACAGCAGTTATAACGATTTCACGTCACCGTCACAGCCGTAGCGTTTTCTTTTCAATACGTGCTACTACTTGTTGTATTCGAATAAAAGAAAAAAAAATAAAAAAATAACGATTGCACACTTAACTTGAATGTGTTTATCAATTATTCGTGTAGGTCGAACGCGGACGCGAGTTTTCGACGAAGACAGTGACGTGATCGCAAGAGAGGGCACGTACAAAAACTACCAATGGCGAACCTACGGGGGAGAGGGAAACGCTTCCCTCCTACTTCAACTCGACAGAAATAATGACGCAATACGTGGAGATCACATTATTCTAAGCTTCCGCGATTCGATTATTGCACTTCGTTGACCGTACGCGACCAAAGCAAAATATCAGTTGTTTATTTTACGGTGCACCGTGTGCGAATAATAACTTCGGAAAATATTTTACGCCCAGCATCGTGCGTAGTCGGGTAATGTTTAAACGGTTTTTTGTGTCCGTTGATTGTCACGACTCGATTGAAATGAAAATGCTACGCCGCGGGCGAATGATTTTTTTTTTCCGCGCGACGTTCAATCCGTCACTTAAATGTACGCGCGCGCACCGGCTACGTGTTTATACGTACACGTGCACGGACGAGTGATGGAAAGAAAGAGTTGGGTACGTGCAACGCGCGATTCGCCCGGCAAGTACGGGCTGCAACTGAAATCCGAACGCGATTTACAAATATTCCGCTCCGGGTTTCCATGTCCTCGGATCCGTCATCCGTCATAAACCGCAGCGCATACGTCTAAATGATGCCGAGATAACGCGCGTTTTACTCGACGTTTTGTTCGGATTTATACGGGACACGGCGAAAGTCATCGGACCCACGTCGTGTACGTATCCCGTCAACCGATATTATTGTGCCCGGGTGTTCTGCGAGACGGTTTCGCGCGTAAGAATCGCGTGAAATGTCAAACGTACACGCGGTGCCACTGCAGCGATCAGTGGCGTATACGTAACTTTTGTATTGAAGGGGGAGGGGAGGATCAGTTGCGAACAAATTGTTATGGAAGGAAAATTTCTAAACTTAAGTACCTGCACGTTTAAATAATAAACAATAAAAGATATTATGCATATTGAATGTGTCGAAATAATAATTTTAAAAAAAATCCTTGTAATATTTTTTTGTTTCCTTAAAATTTCCTTACATTAAGAAAACTATTTCATACAGTTTAAAAAAGACCTATGGGGTGGGGGGATCTGATCCCCATATCCCACCCTTTTTATACGCCCCTGGCAGTGACGTATCGCAACAAATTCACGTCTAACGGTGACGAAACAGCGACTGTATTATAATAATACGTTTGTTGGCCAATGCGATCGATCCGATTGCGGTGTCGTCATTTAATTCCGTGTACGCAAGTTACAATCCGCGTGCATGTACATTATATTTATTCGTATTATTTTACATAGGCGTAGTACACATGTTATGTACACCGGAGCGCGTTTTGTGCAACCGGTCACGGACGGTGTTTGACAGCGTAGTGCGTAACGCCAAGCGTGAGGCCTACTTTCGACGGAGCACCGACGACGACGATTGCACGTGGTTTTTTTTTGTCGTCGAACAGCTCCTCCTCTCTCGTGCACCGCTGCAGGTCGACCTACCTATTACCAAACGGAAACATAGTCTTGAACACGACGCAAACAGCCGACGAACAAAATTTACTTGCGCCGTCACGATTTGTGAGTCGGACACGAAATAAAACCGAAACACGCGCACGCACACTCGGTCCGCTCGTTCGGTCAATCGCTCGTACACGCACGCACGCACGGTGGCCATCGGAAAAACAATCGTTCTTCCGAGTTACAGGTACTTATGTGTAGCGCACCCATAGTGACGTGTACGGATTTTATGCACGTACAGCAGGGGTGGGTCCTCACACATTTTCTTGAATCTTTGAACTTTTTTCAGAAAACAAATAAAATATTTTTATTTTTTTTCTTTGTAAATTTACTATAATTATTAAACCCTTACAAATTTCCCCCTAGGCTCGAGCCTCACGAGCTTAGTGGTTAATCCGTCACTGTACGAACCCGGTCGTATATCATACATGTATACAAGCCCGGATTAAGGGTGTGGGGCCAAGGGGGGTATGGTCCCGAGGCCCATTGATTTTGAGGACCCATCTTTATCCTCAAAATATATTTCTTTGAACGTGTTCAATACAGTTTTCGAAAAAAAAATTTCACTTTTACCTCTAGTAAATGGTATCCCACTAAGTGAATGGTTATCGGGGCTCAATTGATCCTTAATCCGGGCTTGCACGTATACATAATATTATTATTATGATTGTTGGTATAACACATTCGTTTTTTCTGAACCGGCAGTTCGAAGGTTACACGTAATCATTATACTCCCGCGTAATTCGGCGATACATTACAACGTACAAGCGTATAGGTACATTGATATGTCGTCGTAACAACGGTACACTCCGTTGCCAGGACGGATTCGTACATTTTTAAAATTTAAATCCGCGACCTGGGCCAGATTAACTTAGATGCAAAAGGAGCATTTGCTCCAGGGTGACAAATTTAGTGGGATGACATAAATAACATTGCCTCAAAAAATTGTTTAAGATAGTTATTAGTACAAGAAAAAATGATACAAAAGAAAAACGTTATTATTAAAAATTACTTTAATTATTATCTGTGTATTTTGAACCAATTTATTAATATTATAATTGTATTTTGCCACTATTTTCCATTAGTTATATGTAAGTGGATTAATTATTATATTAGGTACTTATAACTTGTAATAGTATTTAATTTTGTTAATTTATACATAGTAACCAGGAATTTTTTTCTTTTTTGTCTCACATAAACTTTATTTCTTTGATGGGGAGGGGGCAAAAATAATTTGCTCCAGGGAGGCTTCGGCCCTTAATCCGGTACTGTCCGCGATGGGCCATAAGTTCAAGCGCCGTTTTGGTCAAGGGGATAATGGGGAGTTACGTATTGAACATGTAAGGTGTATTAATATTTCGTTTTAGATCAGTTTTCGATTTATCTTCGAAATCATTAGTGACGTGCACAAAACCCACCGAAGACGGGTTTTCTCGTTCAATATTATACAAGATCCGTTTAAGACAGGTTTCGATGTACACTGTCAACAGTTTTGTAATATTATCTGTATTTAAATCGTTCCGATATCGATCGAAAACAGAGTTTACAATTAATTCAAACAAATTAGAAGCCTTCGAAGAAATCACTATATAATATGGATTTGTAAATGTGAAAAACAGGAATTTCGATTAAATAAAAAAAGTTATTTCATTTCATATTTAAGAGTTCTAGAGACGGTACAAATAATCACGTAAAACAGGCTAAAAAGTAGACAGAACTGTAGGATTTGCGTTTGATGGATTGAAAATGTCAATCGGATGTACAAATTTGGATATATATACATATATATTATTATTTTATTACCTACCTAACCATTTAAGCCTGCTGAGAGCTGGTCGTTTTTTCGCAAATTCGAATCAAAAAGCAGAAGAAAAATTCATCCGGTAACTAAATCCTGATTTTAATTTTGAAAACACATTTGAATTCTTTATTCTCTTGTCTATGTTTTGTAGGAAATAATTGTTTTAATTTATTCGTTATTTATAAGCATACAGTAAAAGAAAATTTAAAAAAAAATGTATTTGGTACTATGATAAATAAACGATACAATATTTATGTTATAACTAGAAATACTACAATTCTTAGAAATGTTCTAGCGTCCATACGCGCATGCACAATTCAATATACACGAAGAAAATACTTTTGAACTTTAAATGCTTATAAACAAAAAATTGTAACTAACGATTTTTGATTTTTTTTACTACAATAAGTAAAACTTATAATAAACTTTTTATTAAATTTTAAAGATTTTTTGGATTGCTAAATTTTTTTATAGGCACAAATAAACTTAAAAAATTCCAATTGCCTATAAATAACTTAAAAAAAGTCAAAATATTTTGAAAATGTAATCGTAAATAGATACGGTTAATATAAACATTTGATGAAAATTTCAAGTATTTACAATGATTCGTTTTTGAGGTACAGCAAAATAAAAAAATTGATTTTGCCAAAAACTATACGTAAAATTATACGTAAAAATTCCCGTTTTTCCGTTACTTTATTATGATTTTTCCTAACGCTTTTGAAAACTTCTTGATCTTTTACTTTTGATTCCCCAAAGTACCAACTAGATGAATTTTCCCTTTCAAAGAAGGGCTGAAGTAAAAAATTAAAGCATTATTTCTACTCAAAAACGTTATAAAGTTGTTATAAGTAAAAAGTAAAAAATATACACCATTGTAAAATCAATAAATTTATCAATCTAAATAAACTTACAAAATGATTTTAATTTGTAAATTAATACAAAAAAATATATTCACTATATATCAATCAATATACATTATAATTACCTCATCATTGTTTTTTATGATCTTCGCGTTTTTTGCGTTTCAAGTTGGCCAAATTAGGTTTTTTTCCGTAATGCACATAGCCTGGGACGTCCTTTTTTACTCAAACGCCAGTCTTTATTCATTTTAAAATTCAAAAAAAAAATTACTGACGAGAAAAATTAAACTTGACTTGCTGAATAGTTGAAAACAACTAGTTCTATTTGATTTGTGCTAGCATAAATTAATTTATTATGATCTATTTTGTATATTTTGCAATGATTGTTACAATACATTATTATTTCATTTCCGTAGTCATTAGTTTTAATTGACTGATAATCGTTCGAAATGCGGGTAGTATTTAATATTTATGTTATGGCTTGGTACTAAAATTCTTAGAAATGTCCTAACGCCCATACGCGCATGCACAGGTCAATGAACACGAAGAAAATTTACACCACGCTAATAAAATGTCAAAAACGCCAAAAATCTAGACAAAATTGGGAGACTTGGGATTGATGAATTTAAATTTTGAAAACAGATTTAATTAAGTCACTATGTTAGCTAGGGATTGACCAAAGGAATTTTCTATATTGTAATCAAATAATAAGATATTGACAATTTAAAAAAAAAACAGAAATTTATGTATTTTATGTATTTAATTACGCCATTAATTTTTGTAATAATAAAAATTCCTTCGAACAAGTTTTAGTAAAGATGTTCAAGATTTTTAATTTGTTTTCAAAATTAAAATCCGTCAAACCCGAGTCCCACAGTTTTGTCTAGCTTATGACCTGTTTTACGTGAATTTTTGCATCGTCTACAGCCCCCTTAATATAATAATTAATGACGTACTTAAATGTATAAAATACTAAAGTTCTTGTTTTTTTTTAAATTGTCGACATTTTATGGAAAGTTCTAATAAATAAAAACCGTATGTATTGTAATAAGTATTAACGAGATTTTAAATTAAAATTACAAAAAATAATCTACTATTATGTTTTGAGTAAACAAAGAAATATGTTTTTTTTTTTTTAATCATTATTATTATTATTACATATAGCACATAATCCAGATAAGGAAAAATTGCTTAGGCGAAAAAACCCCAGTCGTCACTGATAAAATTATTATTTATGTGTACGCATGCAATTACAATTCACGTTTCAAATGGCTAATATTAGACTTGACCTTTTTCGAACTCTCATAAAGGGATAACTGCAAATAAAATTAAAAATCATCCCGTAAAAAACCATAATTAAACCCCGCTGGTCATATGGTATTCAAATATGGGGCCCTGCCAAACCTTTAAATATTCGTCCTATTTAATCCTTCCAAAACACATAACTTGACTTATTACCAAACCATCTTTGTATATAAAAAACCAATCCTAACAGAACGATCTACAAATAAAAACCGAGCTTACAGGACTGCATTATAATCGTTTTCATATAAAATTGCATCGAATACAAACTTGATTCATACCATTTCCATCAATCATATTACTGACGATCTTGTAGACTAAAAAGAAATTGGCATCGTGGTTTATTTTTATAAAAAAAAAAAAAAAAAAAAAATGAAAGAATAAAAGAGAAACATATAGTCACTCTTACACTTAAACTACCAAATATAAAAATTATTCGTATATTCCTATTGGTGACTCAGTCATGATATTCATGTTATGAACCAAAATACCTTAACGTGTCCATCCCATTGATTTCTTGTACAAACGAATGTGTATAGATTATCTTTAAAATAAATAAAAAATAAATAAATTCCAAATCATTTTCAAGAGGAAAACATTTAGTAGTAAATGAAAACCAATGACGCGCATCTTACACTTCCGATTAGCTGGTGAAGTGTGTATTACAAATTGTAAAAAATTATTATTATAGATGAGATTTGCTTATTCATTAGTTATTACTATAGTATACTGTATACAATATGCAGTCATAACAAATAACTTGGATCATTATAGATGTTTGATATTATAACATTCGATTGAATCATTTACCTTCAGACAGCTCATATTTTCTCAATGTGTTAAGTTTATAATTTTATTTAACTCAATTTTGAATGAAAACTGTAAGCTAAATTTCTTTTAATAACTTGTTTTAAATATTAAATCCGTTTTACAATTTCAGGTCCCTATTTGAATTTACTAATAAGTAATCTCGTTGAGTTTATTTTTATTTTATTTTCAGACGCGAGCTATCACGATACGGCGGCATTCCGAACAGCTACACCAATTGGCACCTACACATTGTTCAGTGAAACCGTACAGTGTTACGCACACTGACAGAACATAGTTGAATTCAATGCATATATTTTTTAAAGAGCTAAACGGTATCGATTATAGCGAAAATATTACCAACCGCTTTATCCGGATATTTAAAAGTCAGTGTTTAAATTATTTATTTTATTACAACTTACGGAAGTAACGTACGGAGTAAGGGGTAAGTGAATCAGATTAATTCCTCTTCCGCCAAAAGGAATAGAGTGGTGTTTAAATTCATAATTAGATGTCAAAATATTGGTAAGAACAGAGCTAGGAGGCGAAATGGGCGTTTAGTAGTGTGCATAAGTCTGTATAAAATGTACGGGTCAAAGCTAATGCCATTGAATTTCAGAATCGTCCGACCAGATTTTTAAAACTGAAAATCTTCGATGCGCACTCGAAATAAAGCTGTGATATTGATACGGGGTGGGGATATTATCGTGTAGGTGCTCATAACACGGGTATAAGCATTACGCTGGTCGCAAGATCGTTGTTGTTGCTGTTGATAACCGTACTCAGAGCCTTCCTAAGGATTCTTTGGGCCTGGAACAAATTAATTCGGGGACCTCTCGATCATTACAGTCATGTAAGAGTATGATAAAAAAATACTCACCAATTTTACAAAATGCTGGTAAATATAGTTTTCCAAACGTCAACCAATCGAAGTAATTTAAATGTATCGATAGAATGGATTACATTTTTAATAACTTCTCAACAGCGCAACAATAATCAACAATAACTTCTAATGGGTAACGCTGAGTATTTCTAATCAATCTGTACTTTATAGGGGACCGCTTTACATTTTTCTAGGCTAGGGTCTGGGGCAAAAGGATCCCGTCCCTCCAATAGAAAAGACTCTGTCCATACTTATTATTTACGCGGACAACGTTAAAATGTTTACGAGGTCGGTCGAAGAAAAGCTGCACTGCAGCGCGTTCCGTACACTCTTGCCGGGATCCGTTCGCAGGAAAACAAAATACAAAACACGTTATACGATTACTGCACGCGTTACGTACATTTCGCGTGAAACAGAAAATTATCATGCCCCTGACACGTCTAGTGGCGCGTTAAACGTCCCGTTAACTTAGTCACCGTGCGCGTTTAATTATTCGTTGCCGTCCGTAATATCATTGCCTTATTATTATTGTTGCAGTCGTTATTATTATTATTATTACTATCATTACTATGATCATCATCATCATTATTACGCTATTCCGTCGCGACCGTTTTTGCGGAGCCCTTTATCATGGGCATATTTTAGGTGATCGCCCCCCCCCCCCCTGAATCCGTATTTATGGAATTGATTATATGTGAGATTTCAAATTTCAAATTTTTTTAATGTGGATCATTTTATAACGAAATCAAATTACGCGTGGTTGTGAAAACTGAAATGGGCTTTTTGTCGGTTTCACATGCTTAGTAAAAAATCTGATAAAACACAAGCGTAACTTTCGAAACACAAACAGGTGTTAAAAAAGAACTACACAGAAGTCGATTCTAAGCAGATCCGGCATTAGATTAAAAAAAAAAAAAAACCACAAATATTACTAAAAATTTTACTTGTACATTTTAAGCCTGAACTATAGAAAAAATTTGATTTACTCCTCCCCTTTGAAAGTAAGTGTAACTGGCCTTCATTACTGCCGCACGCCGTGTACCTATGCTCTACAATAATATGTTGCACATCACGTAATCGCGTGTGCACCGTCCGAATTACGCGTTTATGGTACTTGTGGGTAAATTAATACATTCGATTAATGCATTCCGCGTGGTCGTTAATAAGCCCGCGGGGTACGGTCCAATTAAAACCGAAAATATTTAACAACCGTGTGCGTTATTCAAAATTAAATTACAGCTCGTTACGGCGATCACGAGACACGTCGATTGAACAAAAAGAATCGTTCCCAATGATAAACTCAACGGTCGTGATGTTCGTAGAGTTCAGTTGAAATTTCCAAAAATCACATTTCCGAACCAGACTTGTCAAAAAAAAAAAAAAAAAAAAACAGAATACTAAACTACTATGATGTGCGTGAACGAGCGCTATTCGTCGTTGCAGTTGAAGAACGTAGAGCTCCTACGAAGATCTAACTTATCTTTAGTTATCCGATTAATCGTTTTTATGTCATGCGGTGCATATATGCACGTATATATACGTGTATTACATACCTTATGTGCATAAAATTGTATTTTAAGTGACAATTGATTGTATCAACGAGAAAACAATTTGAAACGTTTGGTTCAAAGCGCGCTGAATGAACACCGAGCTGAAGCATTTGATGTTTGATGACCGCAGTTACGAGTTCATAGGTTTGTCGTATGCCACACATTGGCACGCTACATGTTTATCATAATGTCTATGCAAATGTCAGTAGTATATCTAATGTTCGGTAGCGTACACACCAGGGGTGGCCAACAGGTTGATCGCGATATGAGTTCCAGTCGTTCGTGGCTCCCCTCCATTTATTTTTTAATTTTTCATGTAGATTTGTATATACATATATTTTTCAACTCAAGAATATTAAAATTAGATTAATAACAATTAATTAAGGTATTATCTAGTAATAAATAAATATGAAAAAATAAATTACACACTGAAATTGAGTAGCTATGTTGGTATATGCACGTAATTTAATGGATATTTCGTATTAAATAACGGTATTTATCGCGTTCGTATAAATTAATGAAAAATATTTTAATATACGTGTTTTGTAAAATTGTAAAATTAAAGTTATTATTGCTTATTAATATTTTAAATAGAAGAAATAAACGAAGTGTAACATGCAACATACTTGTATAAAAAATATATTTTTACTCAGTGTCAACAATTTTTTTTTTTTAGTCGATCGTGACAACCTAGAAAAACTCAGAAGTCGATCACAATTTTTTAAAAGTTGGCCACTTCTGATATACACCGTACAGTGTACAATAAGGGACGACGTGAATATCAGATACCTGGTTATCTTTTTTCAAAGAAAGCTAAGAAAATGTCATAATCAAAAATGAAATAAAATCGCCGTATTATTATAACAGTAAACAAAACTATATATTTTAATTATATTGAGCTAGGGTTATCATATTTTATTTGGCAAAAATTGGAGAAAAATATTTTTTCATTTTTTCTCATTGACAACTTTTTATTGATTTCTTGATCATACGGGTGCAATTATTATAAAAATGTATTTACTTATTAATTATTTACTCCTATGCCATACCACATATCCCCCTGTGTTAGCTATGTCAATATGGATATATATATATATATATATATATTATACTTTGAAGTTTAATAATTTAGCTGCAGTTCAATAACACAGAAAACTATAATATCTACATTTTACAATCAAAATGAAAATGAAATTAAACACTGTTAAACGTTAAAATGTAACACAGGCCAGATAAAAAAAAAGTACGTGGGCTGCCAATTGCCCATCCCTGGTTCATAAAATATCTAAAATAGTTTACTGTAATAGAATATGTAAATAAGTACACGAGAAAACTTCGTCGTAAATACTGATATCCGCATCTTCATTATATTGCTGTCTTGCTTGTATCGCAAAACGAAAGCGGTTACATTTTTATGAATATTTTAAAACTAAAGTAAACGGTAAATTATGAAACCAATACAAATTTTTGTAATTATTGTGTAGGTTATAGTTCTGGCATAATATTGAGTGATGACTTATTTAGTCAGTCCTGGTCGTAGTCTTATATGTGAAAAAATAATATATATATATAATTTGGTCATAATATTGGTTATTTTCGTACTGTCTATTGTTACTTATTTAAATGTGTATTATCAACCGAGACTAGAGATGTATATTATGCATAATTTCGGTCATGAGACATAATTGACTCTGGTTATGCGTTCACCTATGTGGGAAATAAATGTTTTCTCCGCAATAGATACAGGTGACGACATCAGCCATAAGAAAATTGCAAATTTAAAAATCGTCATCGCTCCTGCAGTCTCCATCCGTTCAGAATAATATGTCTCCGCTACTTCTAGTGTTGCACTACTAATGCATGGAAAAATCGAAAAATACGTATAACATGCATGGAAAAATTCCGTATAACATGTTCTAAAAAATATTGAAAAGAAATCTATCTATCTTATCAATTATCATTGAATGTTTTTTTTTTATTTTTATTATTATAATTCCAGTCTATATGTCTACTTTCGAAAAATTGGAATCAATCTATTAGTGTTTAAACGACATGGTTCTTTTCGTGACCTGATGTGTACATATCTATTGGTATCTCATCGAAATCGATCTCTAGGACGTAATTATTTTCTGTAACTATCCGTTGAACACGAAATAATATTAATCGCAACAGTTTATCCGATCATTACGATTGACGTTGACGGACGATTACGATCTTATTCACAGCATACTAAAGTGTCACTGATTTTCAAGTTGTAAAAATGTATTGCGGAAAATTAGTAAGTCTATACAAAGCCCGCTGTAGGCGGTACGTACGATGTTTTGTGTAAGGGCTTATAGTGTTATTAGTTATACTGTTAACTAATTTTTGTCGTGTGACTGCAACGACTGAAAGGCGAATCACTAGTGGACACGTCATTAATATCTACCGAGAAACAACCATCTATCAACTTTAATTAATGACGTAGATATAACGAACCTTAAATTCCCGAATCCATATTTTATTATAATTTTTCTCGGGTTGTAAAATACTGAATTACCTATTATATTACATTGTAAAAAAACTTCATTGATTCGCTTGATAAATCAATAAACTGCCATGTAGTAAGATTGATGATATTTGTCAACTATTATTATGATGTTGCGAATAAAATGTCCGTGTTTATAAATTTTTCATTTAAATATCAAAATGGCGATTGTAAAAGACCGGTTTACACTTATCGAAGTAGCCACGTCCATGAACCACAAATTAGTATAACATTGATTCGAGCACTGATGACAGTGTATACATTATAAAAATTTCTTTCAAAATCTTTTTAATCGGTAGCCAAAATGGAATTAAAATTGGTAGACATAGTTTTGGCTCCAAATTGTGCAAAAAAAATTATTTCTAATCATAAATATAGGTGCGATATTGGGTTGCCACACGAAATATTTTAGAATATTATCAAATATACTGTTAACGGAGCTTAGAATGGAATATCGATCAGGTATCATGAACTGTATATGAGAATGAGTGTTGGCAATTGAATATTTAACTAAAAAAAAAAAAATTGGAAACTCGTATTCAAAAACGGAATATATTTTTCCGAGAAGCAATAAGCAGCTGAGACAATGCTAAAAATTATGTTCCCACATGACTTCATAAGTTTCGTGCAAATGGATAAATTTTATTGTTTTATTCTCGGAAACTATTTTTTTCTGCTATTATAATAGTATTTAGAAATACGAAACATGAATATTATATGTAATAGTTTTTTAGAAAAATGTTGTGTTTTAATCATATTTTGTTTACTTTGCTTATTTTTTGAGTTCTATTGATATCTGACTGTCGTATTTTATTATATATGTACTTCCTTGAAACATTCTTAAGATTTTTATTATTTTGAATATATTAGGTTGATGATGATAAACATTTGAGTTAAATTTGAAGTGAAAACTTTTAAAAGCATTTGTAGTAAGACTCTTACAAGAACTTATTTGGAAGATATTGGAAAATCTTTGCGTTTGTATATGTTTCATACAAATTTATACGAGTACAAGTAGATAATACTATGGGTGACGACTTACGAGTAATAGTTATTTTAATGACTCTAGTTTTAATAGGTTTCTAAACTTTTCATTTTTAAAAATATGTTATACGTTACTACTGTTTGATGTAAAAATAATTTCTCTTTTTTAAACATTGGTTCGTTTTAATGATTAGAGATTTCTCGCATTGGCGTATCTACGGGAGGGAACAAGTGGGCCTACCCCCCCCCTCCCTGGTGGTCTATACCTCCAAAAAAATCATGCCCAGATAAAAAAAAAGTCGTATGGTCTGTACTCAATACAATACCGACGGTACTAATACAATACGGCACAGTAGTGTGATGTATGCATTTTTATTTTAATTATAAATGTACTTTTATTTTTTTTGATAGGCCTATGGTTATACTTTTTGGTCTTGATTGAAAATTATTCCAATAATTGCAAATATTTGAACATGATTAATAAATATTTGTTCATTTTAAAAAAAAAAAATAAAAATTATATGTCATAAAATGTATTAAATATGGTATACCTAATGTAGTACCTCCACTGGGAGGCTTCTACGCTCTGTTATATTTACCTCGTTATAATTTAATTTTTTTTTTCTTCTTACTTCCTCAATTGTTCTTATTGTTCTTTTTTGTAACAGATTGAATAAAACATTTAATAAACAAAAAAAAAAAAAAAAAATATGGTATACCTATTTTTCAACAAATAAAAAAAAAAATAATAGTTAATATTAATTCAAAACATTTATATAATCTTTTGAATGTGTATTTAAAATTACTTTATTACAAATAAATGC